AAAGTGCTGTCAGAGTGAATAGAGAGTAACTCCATAGTGTTGATCAATATCACCTCTATAAGGCATAAAGCCGACACTCCCACTGAAATAGTGGAAAGTGGCGGGAGCCTCAGTTCCCCCGACGTAAAAGTGGGCGTGGTTGGTGGAACGGGGCTGAGTGCACCAGTGTATTGAAGCATATCTATAACTATAAGTCTTTTGTAAGCAATGAAAAAAGAAGAAAGTCGAAAGAATTATGAAAACTCGGACTTCGCAGTAAATCGATTGAAAACTGCGCAAAGTCGCACACCTGTCTCAGTGTAGCAATCCTTTTCAGCAAGGGTGTGCGTGCGAAATAGCGAAAGTGCAAAAAAGTCACAGGAGAAGAGTTACTAAAACACTCTATAAAAATATGACCGCGCTGAGAAGTGGGCGGGGGAGCTGGGGCGGGGCTTGCAGCAGTACCTAGTGTGGTCAGGTTGGTTGAACTGTGTTAGGGATGTGTCCGATTTGGTTTGAAAAGTATCTAATACAGTTTAAAAGGCGTTCGACCTGGTATAAAAACTGGACTTGGTTTGAAAAGTGTACGACTCAAAGTGAAAAGTGTATACAGGGGGGGGCCAAAAAAAGTCATTCCGGCCGAGTCACATATGAGCGAAGTTTTCGCAGCCCAGACAGAGGAAGTGGATATGAGTACCAGGGCGGAAGATACCCAAGATCTTCCTCTATAAGCAGGAGCCGGCTGCCGCCATTCACCTTCATGTACACCAAAATATGAAGTCATCTCCAGTCGCGGCCTGAGTGGAGAACGCCTTTGGAATTCACGTGGCCTCCAAACAGCTGCGGAACTTCTTGAATGGAATCACCCATGGATAGCTACCTGGAGACCAGTACTCTTGATCTGCAAGACCTCCAACATCGAGCAGCTCCGACAACGTCGCTACGGTCCAGGACATCATCTTCACCGCAGTCGCCAAGGCGCGGGTTGATGGTATGGACCGGACGTACCTGGAATGGAAAGACCGATATTTTCTTCGTGGACCCGGACTGAAGGTGAGCGCTGGCGGTTACATCGAGCAACTCGAGAAGAATATCCTCCCCACATGTCGTCGCCCGTACCTTCTTGGAAACTTTGTACTGCTACAGGATTGGGTGACACCACATGGAATCGAAGGGCGTTGGAAAAACTCTCGCCTACTTGGAATGGAAGGGCGTTGAGTACCTGAAGAAGATGGAATATCTAAGCAGGTAACCTGATCTAAACCCCCTCAATTACCTAATTCGGGCGGAGTTCAATAGGGTGGTCCAACGGAGAAATCAACTATCTCGCTGATCTCAGGCACCACATCGCGGTCGCGTGCCAGAATCTCTCGATGGCGCTCCTCCAGAAGGCTGTGGCGGAGTGTCATGATAGTATTTAATATGCTCTTTAATATGGTGGTAGAAATGTCCGATCAGAATTTATAAAGTGTAACTTATAGCGCCTCGAAAGTCAATGAAGCAAAGTGACTTTTTTTGCCCCCCCCCCTGTATACTGACACACTTAACATCACTTTATCCACGCTCACCTCTGCGACCTTGGCAGAGTTTCTGATCACTTTTGAATTTTTTAGACAACTGTATTGCAACAGAGACCTCGCCAAGTATGGGAGGCCTCCACAACCCTACAAAAGCCTACCATACTTTCAGAAAGTAACCTAAATTAGGCGGTCCAGTTTTGGTAAGGAGGATTGTCTGAAACGGCTCGAAAAGTGCCCGATTCAAAGTGTAAATGGTATGGTCGTACACACGGTTTGATATATCAGTCACTGGTATAATATGCAACTTTGGCGTTAAAGCGCCACCCTTTGCGCCAGGTCGGAACTTGATATTACAAAAATGACGTCGACGCCAGAGCGAATGCCATTTTGTGACCAATGAAGCCTTTTCGACCCTCAAGTGTGCACTGAAAGCGGAGTTTGTCAAAAATGAAAAAAGGAGTTTCAGAGCTCCTTATATATATTGAATATTGAATTGAATTGTATTTCTTATTGTATTGAAGTCGCAGAATGTGTCTTGTCCTTGAGTATGGTCGAACAGATTACTGACAGGGCGACAGATGATGTAATTGATAAGCACTTAGTCTGATAGGTTTCAGCAGATCTAGCCTACGAGCACCCATAATCTTTGAGGGCTTTTCTTCAGATACTGCTTTTTTTCTACTACTTGCCCTGAGAGTTCCGGCTTCTTTGTTGTCCATTGGTCGGACAGGAGTAGGAGTTTATCCAGTTACTTCAATATACCCTCTTCCTCGATGGTGATCACCTTGAAAACTTCGGTCTGGTCTGTGCTCGAGGTCTAATAGCTCTGTGTTCTCGCATCTGCCCAGTGTCTACGTGGGCTGCTGGTATACCCGTGTCTCGAAGTGCCGGCATACCCCTATGACCCCTCATGTGGCGCTAAGGGCACTGTGACCAGCTGGTGCGGACAGTAGCTTCGTCACCGGTTACTAGAGTCTTGTGAGCAAAGCCTTTATGATCACTAAGATTCCCTGCTTTCTTTTTTTTCTCTGTGGTCTATGGCCTCCTGGTTGAAAGGGTCTGACTCTTCCGCTTTCGCCTAATTGGTCCTGGAACTCCATACTCCTGACCAAATAAGCTGCATTTGCTGATTCTTTTCGACCCTCAAGTGTGCAATTGTCTAAAATTGAATTGCAGTTGGACTTCTTCTGTTTTTGTTTAGTTGTTTGCTTCAGGATTTCGTTATTCTACATTGTCACTTTGTTTTACCAGAGCGCGTTGTATTTACGCATAAGTAAATACATAATAAATGAACTGTGGACAAACAATCAAAAGAACTGCATTGGAAGGTCAAGCCTAATATGGTAGATGAGACAAATGTTAGTTCCTTCTAGTTGACAAGAACATACCGCATATACCATAGGAATCGTTGAAATCCCAAACAGAGCCATGAGCAATGCAAACGCCTCCAAGTTTTCAAGCGACTTGTACACGGGCATTCCAATAATGCTGTAATCGTCTCAGTAAGGGCGTGTGACATGTTTTCCAAGAAAAATATACCGATAACTTCATGTACTCACAAAATGACAAGCAGTGTCAATGCAGCACTGAAAGCGTAATTCAAGAGGTCGTAGATAAAGTTGGTCGTCCAATAAAGTAATGGTGACAGCCCGGTCATGTGCTGTAAATGGTGGAGTTTTGACTGTTAAAGCATTGTACGCTTGAGGTAGTTCTTCTCTGTCGGAGGTGTGCGCAGGTCTGGATCTCAAGAGCCCCACCCGTGCTACTTGGAAGTGAGTTCTACCAAAGCTAGAGTCGTGCCATTTTCCGTAGCAGAAATATTGACAACACGCCCGCGACAAGCCACATGCAGTTTTCAGTAGTTGGCAAAGACATGAAAGAACACATGCTATGGCAGTTTTGGGAACTTATGAGAGTCTTTGCATATTTCAACCAGGGCACTAACATCGTTGGGGGTGCTCCTACTCATTCCTTGTTGGGAGGGAGGAGTCGCATTTGCCTTCCAAAACAACTTCGGGGGTTGGGAAAAATTTTCGCGATCAGGACCCCGACTAGTGATGTGCCCCGAGTTCAATTTACTTCCGCTCGTGCTCACAAGTCGCTCTTTTGCCCTCAGATACATTGCTTGAGAACAAGCAATCAACAGCAGTCCACTCCGGAGGACAAGGTACATTTCTTCGTCGCTTAAAGTCAAATAATTGCATTACTGCAAAGTTCGTTGGTTGGTCAGTTGAATAGCGTGAAATCTTATTTTACACACGACTTATTACCGACTTCCACTATCCTTTTGCGAGCTTTACTTCTGCCTTCTTCATTAGTCTTTTTCCTCGTGTTGGATGGCACTTGTTGTTCGCAATGAAACGACTTGCAAGGAGTTGAACAAGGGCTGTAGGGCGTCGGTTTACCGGAGTGATCGGAAAACCCATACATGAGACTGTGCGGCCACCAAGGAAGTCATCATTCAAGATA